CTGGACATAGTACCAGGTGCCAGGATGGCAAGCACCAGGCAGGCTTGTTCAACTAGATCTGTAGCCCTTGAAAACCAGAGTCTTCTGCCCGGACATCCTTCTGCCTCTCACTCTGAAGGACCCGCTGCAACACCGTGGTAGCCTTTCTGGCACCGGGTGCCGGCCTTTCTACTTTGTGACAGAGACCAATACTTACATGATCCTAGAAATGAGCAATACTATTTGTGCTCCTTGGAAATTTAACTAAAATTTAATCTCATATAAGAATTTAGTCTAAAAAAATGTAAGATTGGGTTTTCTGTGAACATCTGTTTCGTTACTGCCTGCTAAAATGAATATCAAAAATAAAATGAACATCAAACTCTATATCATATGGAAACTCCTGAGACCGAAAGGGAGCTGAAGATGCCGCAGGTTCCCCTTCTGGAGGTGCTGAGTGCTCCAGTTAAGGGCAGTGGGCAACCAGTAATAAATCATGATCTGTGTGGCGGAAACTTTTGTATTTATTCACAACTCATCAGCCAAAGGTACCAAAACAACTCGGTAACAGAGGTCATTTCATGTGTGACCATTTAAGATGACCTATTGGAGCTTTCTCCTCCACTTGTTGAATCGATCAGCACTGGCCAGTGCTTCACCAGGAAGGGGGACACTAGGCCATCAAGTCCAAGTTGAGTTATTAGATGTTAGAGGAACAAAGAAGGATTTTTTTTTTTTTTTTTTTTTTTTTGGCTGGCTCAGGCTGCCTTAAGGGCCCTTGCAATTGCCAGGCAAATGCTTATTCTACTGAGCTATCTACCCGGCCCCCTATTAATTTTTTTAAAATGTATATTTTATGCCGGGCAGGAACGGAAGGGGCCCCTGGGAGCTTGTTTGGCTGATTCTGCCCTTGCCCCTACACAGGCCCGGGCTCCAGAGCTCTTCACTGTGCCCATGGCCACTGCGAGTGAAGTATTCCACCCTAGCCAGGCTGTCCACCCCTGCTGTACCCCACTATTGACTTTGATGTTTGAAATGATGCTTTTGTTTTATTTTGGCTCTGTGGAGGTTTCTATTCAGCCGATATTCTTCTCTTTCACTTGGACTCAAAATATTTTTATTATAGTACAACTCCCAATATTTTGTAGCTTTCCTTTACTAACTTTTTAAAATGTTTAAATTATTTTGCTTTATACTTTGAAAATGAGGGAAAATATTCCCGTTTACCCCATAGTTATTAGTTGTGGGTGTATCTTTATTCTCACAGCCATAAAATATATGCATTGATTTTAAAAAAACGTTCAGTAAGTGCTTCTCAATCCACAGTCCATACCAAATTTATTTACTCATTTTTAAATGATAATTTTGAGGTAGATGTTTA